TAATAATGAACGGGGACTATAGGATCATTAATAAGTCTGCAGTATCCATATTCATGCCTGTCCATTGCTAGGAATGAGCTCATGCTGCAGGACTTACCTATAAGAGCAGTGCTCTGCATTGCAGGTCTGGAGTTGGTGAGAGGATTGGGTGAATAGCCCCCTTGGTTTTCCAGCATGCCTTTTCTTTTGGCTTAAGTTCTGAGTATGTGCTGTGGGACAGTATAGGCTTTCAGTCCAACAGCACTGACTTTGAATTACAGCTTCACTCTAGCTTTGTGACCCTGGGACAAGTTACTTCACCTTTCCAAGCAAGCCTGTTTCCCAATCTGAAAATGTGGATAGCAGTGATACCTTGCAGAGTTGCCTTGAGAATTATGTATGAGTGATGGACAAAAGCACCTGGGTTATAGTAGCTCAATTGATATTAGTTCCTTTTCCCCTTAAGAGGATTCAAAGTAAACATACCTTTCAGGTAAAGGTCATTATATTGTCACTGCCTTGACACTAGCAATATAACCCCTCTCCTTTTCAGGGGAGAAGGAAGAAAGAATAGCTTTTACTCTTCCAAGATGACAGTGATGAAGTCAGATAGTGCCGTAATTCCCAGAGAACAAAGGCCTAGGGCAGATACACCCTGTCCCGCTACTCAGAGATGTACAGTGGCATTCCACAATCGCCGTCAGCCGTAGGGCAGTTGTGACACGGTTGTGATGGCCTGCCTATGCATGAACTTGGTCGTAGCTGTTAATATTATCACCCCTTTAATTTAATTATGTACACTGTTGGTTCTGCACATGTTGTATCTAATTGCCATTTAAAATGTCTTCCAAATTGCAGTCAGATTCAGCATTGAAATGCAAAGTCAGTGTGAATGGTGAAAGGCACCAGAGCAGAGAAGCATGGTATTCATTTACAATTGGTGAAACAGATATTTGCGTTGATATTTTCTTGATAAACAATAAACAAGTTCTTTCTGGGACCTAACAAATGAAGATAGCATCTAGATAAAGTATTATGTTTTGTTACTGAGATACCTTGGAAAAAACAAGGGCATTGATGACTCTGAATCAGAAAATGATTCAGAAGAGTCAGGTTCTGAATGTGAAGTTTTTTAGGACTAGCTTAACCAATTTTTTGCTATATTTTCTTTTTAAGAAAGCGTGATGAGTGGTTTTACAAATTTCTCATTCTGTGTGATAAGCAAGTAATGAGTCATAGTTTACTTGGTGGTTTTTGCATTTTGGGTGGTACATAAAATCAAGTTTAAATGTTACCCTCTGAAGAAAGTGATAAACAAGCCTACTGAGCTCAGTAAGTAGACAAGTGACAAGGGAGTGTGCTTGGGGTCAGAAACTCATGTATAGAGGTGATGCATGTCAAACACCTCACGCTCATCACGGAGTCTCTACTGTCCTCACCAACACTTTGCCAGGTATCCTTCAGAACCGGGGAGGGAACAAGAAACCATCCTTTGGGCACTAAGAGAATGGGTCCAGTCATACCAGCCATGCCAGGGCTGTGAAGAGAACCCACTTGGACATAATAGCTTACTGAGCCTACCATGTGCTGCTCCTGTGCTAGGCACTTCATGGGTTCTCTCTAATCCTTGCAACAATCTTGAAAGATTTCCACTGGGGCTGGTACTGCCCTTTTAAAGACACTTTGCCAAGATATAACAAAAGATATTAAAAACAGTCCTGCCCTTTGACTTGGTAATTCCATATTTGGGAATTCATGCACATGAAGTTGTTCATTTTCATTACGATGTTACTTATAGTGAAAAGTTGGAAGTGGCTTAATGTCTAACTCTAGCAATAGGGTTCAGCAAATTAAGGGACATCCATACTTGGTTGAATATTACATAGTCTTTAAAATAGTCACAAAGTTTACAGTATAATATGGGAAATGTTAATGTAGCCAGTGAGAAGACAATAAAATATATGCACTCTATAATTTCAAAGATATTTTTAAATATTAATGTTAATATTGGAGGAGAATAATACAAAAATAAAAGTAGTTGTGATAAGATGACTTGATCATGGGTGAGTGTCGCCCCCCCCCCCCCGCCCCCGCCAAATTTCTCTTTACAACAACAAGAAAAAACAAACAAAAGAGAATGATTCAGTAGCTGCAAAAACTATTGAGGTATACTGAGAATACAAATTGTTTTCAGAATGCAGGTAGAATTACCCAGTTACATATTTGCTACATTGAGATGTTAAGGAGTCTCTGGGGTTTCTTTTTTTCCTCTCTCCCTCTCCCCACTTGAAATATGTAATCATTGTATTTGCAGAGCAAAAATGCAGTAGATTCAGGGACACATTTGAGGTTTTGTAAGCAAATGATGACACAGTAAAAGGTATTTGTCCAAATTTGCATTCATACAAAACATGGTGTGCTGTGATTTCAGAATAAATGTGTTTGAAATATTTTCTAAATACAGAGCTGTTGCAGCCCTAAGTTAGCTAAGAAACTACATTTCTATGACAGGCCATAATTACCCTTTGGTAAATTATTGGGCTTAAAAAAAAAAAATAGCCTACCTAATGGTACCTGAAGAGTGAGTCTCACTTTGTCCCTTTCTACATCTGCCATCACTTCTAAGACTCCTTTTTACTCTTTCATTGATTTTTATTGCAGGACAAAAGGGCATGGCATTAAAATCTACATATTTAAAATTCTAGAAATTTTTTTTTCAGATAAGAGCCTATAGTCTCAGATAAGAGCCTAAATTATACAGAGGCTTTTGCTATAGGTATTTATTTTTACCTTTTTCTCACAGTTGTTTGAATGTCCTTTTCTATACATTAATTCATTTGTTGGAATTTCAGTTCAGAAATTCTAATTAAAACTCAGGGTCATTTGTCACTTGCATGACAGTGCTGGTAGGAGCTGGGAAAGTTTATAAGATTTGGTTAAATATTATGGATTTGAGTTTTCTCCCTTCTATGTGTTTGGCTGTACTTCTGGACACATTAATAAGTGGCCATTTTTCTGGAATTCTGCACTCTTCCTGCTTCCTTTCATTACATTAGGCAAGGTTCCACTAGATGAGGCATTTGCAGTCTTAAGACTTCCTGCCAGGGTTCAGACTTTGTATTTTTGACATTGAAGCTGTCGTGTTCCTGAAGCTACTTAATTAGAAACACATTCATTTCAATGTACACTGGAGAAAGCTTGGACAGCAGAGCCAGGCACACTGGGAAGTTTGAGCATTTGTGTAGCTGGCAGCTAAACTAATGGTTTACAGTTTAAGGGGAGAAAATATCATAGGGCATTTCCTTGCCCCTAGAAGCGAAGGGAAGCTGAATGTGCACAGCAGATACCTTTTTTAAAAAGGAGAGAAGAAGAAGAAGAAAGGAAAGACAACTCCACTTTCACTGCAGTTTTGTGTCTAATTCTTTCTTTGGCTATTATCGAATACAAAAATCTTCTAGAAGAATAGTTGCCAAACTGTACTGCTAATATTCAAGACTGTTTTACAGGTTCCCAAGATATATTACTGCAGAGGTCTGTAGTAAGGAGAACATTTTATATTCTGGGGAAGGATTTTTGCTTGAAGAATTTTATTTGTTGAATGGTAATGAGGGAATTGTGCTCTTTCTTATTTTTAAATGTTTGAGCAATTTTAAAGTGCACATATGATGTTTAAAAAACCTTCGTTGCCCATCCATTGCTTTCAGGATAAAGCCTAAACTCCTCAGCATTCAGTGGAAAGCAAACCTCTCCTTTTTCATTTCTTACCACTCCTCATTTCCCTACCCTGTCCCCAAGAAAGCCACCGTCCTAGGTCCACTTCCACGCCACCAGCTGCCCCAGAGGAAAGGTACCTGGGCACCTCAAGTCTGAGCCAGGTATCTTTCCACTGGGCTCATAAAATACCTTTTTGTACCTTTCTTAGGATGTATCACATGCTGGAGAGACAGATGGAAACATTGTCAATGTCTTGCTTCCTCTCTACTCCTTGACCTCCCTACCTGCAGGAAAAACACTGGGTGGGAGGCGGGCCTGGGGATTTTAGGTCCAGTATTACAAAGTCAGTGTGGCACGGAGGAAGAAGGTTTGGAGTCAAATCCTAGGGTTGCCGCTTGTTTTATGGCATTAGAGAAGTGATTTAGGCTCTCTGGGCCTATTTCCTCCTCTGTAAAATGGGTATAATACCTACCTTGTGAGGGTGTGTGGGTTAGGAAAGATGAATTTCAAGTTCCTTGTATAATGGCTAGCCCATTTATCGTTGGTAAGTAGCATCATAATGATAATTTATATGTGTGCCCCTGAAACCAAAGGAAATCAATCCATAATGCCCAGGTTTTAAAGCCACTGGAGCTGGGTTCTCATCTCCTGCTCAGTCACTAACTAAGGGAACCCATTGCTCTGGGAATGAAGCAGTTGGAAGGGGCTTTTTGAATTACAGTGTCATCAGATGTCATGTGTGCAATTGGGGTGGAGATGCTTGCTGGCTTTGCTGCACTTTGTCCAATCAGAATGAACAGTTAGGTCACATCTCTTGATGGCAGGAGGAAACAGCAAATAAAAAATCATTCCTCTTTGAAGCACATCATGCCCTCCATCTGACATTGTTAACTGCTTTTTCTGTTGTAATCATGGCAACAGTGGTTCCCATTTGTACCAGGAACTGTACTAATCACTCGACGTATATTTTCTCATTCTGATAGCAAGCTGCCAGTTAGATTCCAAAGTGCCATTTTAAAGATAAGGCAACTGAGGCTATGCAATCGCATGGCTGCTATTTAGGGACTAACGCCAAGGTCAGTGCTCTTCCCGCCACCCATGCTTTTAAGGCTGCCCGCATTTTGAAATTCTTCTGAAGTTTCTAGGCTTGGGAACAAAATGTCACATTAGGATTTTTGTTGTGAAAGGAAATGTAACTGTGCATACGTTTATTAAAACAGTTTTTCTCCAAATAGTGAACCATGTGTAATTTTCTGTCAGAAGCAACAGACATTAAAGCAGCTGTGTGTCTCTGTTTCTCTTCACAGCGCTCCCATGCCCTACCTCATAGGAATCCATTTAAGTTTAATGGAGGTAAGTGGGCTCCTCTCCTCCCCAGATATCTCTGTTTGCGGTTGTGTTTTGCTATGTGGCAGCGGAAAAGACGCGGTCTCTGGATTCACAGCTCTACACACGGGAGCGTGTCAGAGCAACACCTCATGCACAGAGCTGAGCGTTCAGCTTAGACCCTTTCCACTGGGCTCTTGTTTCCAGTGTTTTTCCACTTTGTTTGGAGATTGTCAATTTTCATGGGTGAGGGAGTGAGGTTCAAAGAGGCAGGAGGAAAGGGTTCTTTAAGGGTTTGAACGAGGGAAGGAAAATGATTCACTTTTCAAAATGATGTTTATTCTAAAACACTGAAACAATATCATATTACATTTTTCCTCTGTAGAAAATGTGGTATAGAAAATATGCAGAAGTATAAGTAGGAAAATTAAAATTATCCACAATACCATTATTCCAGATTCAACCACTGTTAGCATTTTATTTTTCTTCATCCTCGTCTTTATTCTGTGAATATATATTTTGTATAAATGTATTTCACTGATATGGTATAGAATTTTATGTCTTTATTTCATTTAATATTATGGCATGGGGATTTCTACATGTTTTTGTCTACTCTCAGTAATAATTTTTAATTTGCTACCGGTCCTTCCACTGTTTGGATATGCCACAGCTTAGCCATTTTCCTATTACTGTTGGACACTTAAAGCTGTTTATAATATTTCACTATTATAAATAGCATGTCAGTGAACATCTTTATGCATAAGGCTTAATCTGCATCTTGACTTAACTTCCGTAGTGTAGAACCCCTAAAGTAGAAATGCTTGGTCAAAGCTATGAATCTAAGGCCAGATTGCTTTCTGCATGGCTGTACCGGTTAGATAGCAATTCTTTTAAGGGACTTTTCTGTGCTTTTGTAAGTGCCACTGGTTTATAGACATGAACCCTAAGCTTTTCCCTCCTCAGGAGAGATCTGAAATTTGCACTAGAGCAAAATGGGGCAGGAGGTAGGGGGCTTGCCAGTTTTGCACAGGAGATAAGCTCTCAGAGGGAAAAGCTAAAGCCATGTCCGTCTGTGATGATGCTTTGCATGTCTTAAAGGAAGTGCTACTTCTCTTCTTCTGTTGCCTTCATTTCACGTCGACGAGGACCACCTGCTTCTTCACTGTTGCACACTGTGCTATTGTGCTTACGAAAATGAAACAAGTTGGTTATCGAAAAACCTGTTTGTTTGACATTGAGAATCTTGATCAAAATAGACCACAGAAATCTGCTCAAATTTCTAATTTGACAGGACGGCCATGTGGCTCCTACATTCTGTTAACAGTTCCTCCTTGTCATCACCCAGCCCTGAGCACATACAGTACACAGTTTATGGACTATCTTGGATGGTGTATTTAGATCAGCTTGAAGAGATTTCTTCTGTGTTTTACCTTTGTTTGTCAAGTTTGGGGGTGTATTCAAAGCTCCTGTGTGAAAAATTGAAAGTGAGTACTTGCTAATAGAACTTTCGTGTCAATTGTTGTACAGTTGGAAACTCTAATCTAAAGACCATTTGGTCTATCGGCATCCACTGCTCTTTCCTGCCTCTTCTGCCTTCCAGGCTGTTCCAGCACGGGTTTTTTCAGGCTCGGTTTCACAGCCCTTTACCTTGAGCATTGTCCAGGTTTCTAGTCTTGGCTTGCTTTTCTTTTCTATATGCCCTCTGGCCATCTTTGATAAGGCTTTTTGCTTTTGCCACCAGGGTAATGTCAGTGACTCCCAACTGTGATTCTAACACTGACATGCCTCTCTCTGAACTTAAGGCCCAGAGTTGCAAATGCCAGTTGAAGGTCACCAAGATGTACTGTCGATGTCTCAAACTCAGTCTTCCCCAAACCCCTTATTATCTGTACACACAGACCTGTCGAGTTACTCCACTCCCCTTCCTCTGTTCCTGGTCCCTGTGAGTGGCACCACTGCCTGAAAAGGCACCAAAGTGGGTCATGCTGAGCATGGCTGAGTGTCCTCTTTCTCATTTCTTTCTCTCTAAATAGTCACCAAGTCTCTGACATGTCTTTCGCCCTGTTCCTTCCTCGCTGCCTTCGTTGACATTTTACCTTGCTTTCTTAGATTTTTGCAAAGCCTTATTCGTTCATTCGAGAAGCAGGATCAAGGCCTCTTGTTTTCCGAACATTTTGCTAGGTCATGAAGGTATGAAGATGAGTATGAAATTCTGGTCACTCTGCCTTTAATAGCCTGCCTTCCAGCCTCCTCTGCCCTACCCCCGAGTCCTGCTCAGTCTCCCCGCTGCTGTCAAGCCTCCTGTCCTCTCGCTGTGCCTTGTTAGCCAGTGCTCTGGCTGGTCTCTAAAACACCCCCATCCCCACGCCCCTGCATGGCTAAACCTTCTCTTCCCCAGCTGTTGGAGGAAGTCCTCCCGTTGGCCGTTGTCTTTGCTTGCTGTACCTCTTGCTCAGGATGACAGCTGTTTGCTTCCCTGCCCTCTCCTTCAGCCCTAGGAGCAGGAGCTCTTTGGGAACAAGGACTGTGCTTCATTCACTGTGGTGTCCTCAGCACCTAGCAAGATACCCAGCAGGTGCGTTCTGAAAAGAAGGATTGAGTGAGTGCTTGGAAAGCTGGAATTTGGAACACATTTAGAGCCCTCCAGTAGGCATTGCTGTTGTCAGGGAACCCAGCACCATAATTTTACTTAAAGGTGGAGGGAGTAAATTTTTTTACTTTTTATGTGATTGTAAGTAATTTAAAACAAGGGTTTTTTTGTAGTAAAACATGCCGTGCACAACAGGCATAAATTTTGAAGCTAAAACTTGAGACAGAGTTTTGCACTTAGGTGAATGGGTGCAAGTCCACTCTCCTTGGCCTTTGAAGGGTTTTAAATGAGAAGGTTCAGGAAGCACTGGCCAAGATAAATCTTAGCCCTGCTGATTTAAATTCGGGAGTGTTTGCCATGCTGAACTACTATGTGGTCAGCACTAAAAGAAAACCAAAAATAGTAGTTGCCCCACTCTTGAAGCCAGCTAAGACACTTTCCAAACAAAATAGCGTTTCCTGCGTGTGTGAGGCAGCTGTGAACTACCAAGTCGTGAAGTACAGTCTCCTGATCTCCTCCCATGGATTTCAGCTCAGACTCAGTCCTCCGCTCATGCTTTTTGATTGGGCTTATCTGGGTCTATTAGACCTTTAAGTGAGAGAGGTGGTTCCCTGAGATTTCTTCCAGGAACCGTGGGCTATAATGCTTGGGGGTGGAGCTCATACCTGGGGCCAAAGGAAAACTCTTTAGGGAAGGAGACTGGGAAGGCCCATCTCCTCTCGCACACTAGTTTTCTTACTGGCAATTCAGCAAAAGGCTTATTTTTGACTGTCTTGTTATTTTTTCTTGAAAGCTATAGGCACCTTATTATGCCTTTGCATATGTGCCAGAATTTTTTAAACTTCAAATGAATGTGGCAGATGTTCATAAAAGTTTAGAAAAAGCTACCATAGGAAGACTTTTTAACCATTTTTATGACACTCAAATTTGTTGCACAAAAAGAAATATAAATTATAACCTACTGTTCTCATTTGAAAGAAGGTTATTTGGGGGGAAGATCTAATTCTAGCCTTCAAGCTCTTACAGGCTGTCCTATTTGTTAAGTGGCAACCTAGTCACCTAAGAGAGTACACCTTCCTTCTAAAGTGACAAGTTTCTAGCTGATCGTCATTCTTAGACCTCCACTGCCTTTTTATATCCTTTCTCTCATCTAAGCAAACACTAATTTGAGGCTGGTGGTAAGTTAGCAGGATAGCCAAGGGTTTTGGCATAGACCTAGTTTCTTCTTGGAGAGAATGATCATGTTAGCTGGCAGCTAGGAAACACCAAAACGTGGCCAGATTACACAGTGACTGTTTCCTTTCATTCCCTCCACCTCAGTTGAGTTCAGGAGATGCTCTGCAGCTCCTCCTCTGTGCCACGTCTGGTAGCAGGTGCCAGGTCAGTTCTGGTAGATGGGTTCCTTTTCCTTTTTGATAAATGAAGACCTTCCTTTCCAAGCCTCACAAATAATGCTTTGTGTACAGACCTCAGAGCCACATGAAGGATGCATGCAGAAGGTGTTTTGTATCATTCCTGGTGATGGAATGGTCAGGAAGGAGGAAGGAAAGGTGATGGCAGTGACACAGTGCAGACAGAGGCTCAGGTTAGACTGCAAATGAAGCTCCACCTATATACAGAGGCAGTAAAGTGTGGTGGTTAGAATGTGGGCTCTGGGTTCTGGCTCCCCTACTTCCTGCTTGTTTGATCTTGAGCAAGGTGATGGACCTCTGCACCTCTGTTTTCTCACCTGTAAAATAAGGGCAATGGCCACAGCTCCCCCCTACAGTATCATTGAGGGATCTAGTGAGATAACGCTTATCAGGTACTCAGCACAGTGCCTGGCACATAAAGAGTTCAACAGAGGTCAGCAACCATTGCTATTTTTATTTCCTCAGTGGCCTTAAATCCATTTACATTGTTAAGTTGATGCCTTGAAATTGTGGTTTTAGGGACTCTTGGGTTCCAGGGATCATCACCTTCATTCCCTAGGGAAAG